GGAGTCCAGGTCCCAAAGCTGAGCCGTGTCCGAGGACGTGCTGATGGCGTAACGACCTGAGCTGTGGACAGAGATGGACGAAACTGCTCCCTCATGACCCCGCATCCAACTGACCAGCTGCTTCGTGTCTGAAAGAGAGAAAATGACACGAGTTTCATTAAAAATGTGTGAAAATGTCCCTTAGAACCCAAAAACAGAAAACACCCATAAAATGACTATTAAAAAAACCTGTGTGAATATGTGTATCCAACCTTTGTCAAAGCACTTGATGGTGTAGTCAGCCAGGGCCACAAGGAACTCTGTGGTCCTGCGGAGGCTGAATGCCAGAGCTGTGCAGGCCTGACCTGTCTTCTGCACCAGACGAAATCTGCCCAAAGAAACAAGCAGTGAAGTACACAAGTTCAGATAAAGGCGAAAGCATGCTGAGATTAAGGGGAAGGAAAACAGAAACAAAAAGGAAGACCATTTATGACTGAATCATGGTCATGTCCTTGTAGATGAAAAGAAGATGGAAGTATTTTTCCTCTTTTCTGCTCCAAATAGAACATTCAGGCGAGAGAAGAGAAGAGATATATAAACATTAAATGGCTAGGACTAGCATTAATAAGATATGTGGACACAATGGAGACAGTAAGTGGACCATAATATTTGTGTCCTAATTCCCATGTAACTAATTCTTGTATTAAATAAAATATTATACAAGTTATAAACAAAAAACGCTGTATTATTATTATTATTTTTTTGATCCTACTCAATCACCTGTTTCTACTGATGTCAAAGACATAGATGTTGCCATGGTGATCTCCAGCCAGGAAGGAGTCTCCTGTGGTGTCAAAGGCCACATGGAGGAAACGCACCGTCTTGGCCTGCTGAGCAGTGCGGATCACCGTCACTAACACTCTGAGGAACACAAACAACACACGTTAAAGGGGAAGCGCACACACTGAGAGAGAGAGAGTTCATATGAACCGCAAAACATGTGAGTGAATCATGGCTGCTCTCTAGTGGTTGTAATACACCCTGAAATAGATGGCTGAACACTTACATGCAGCTTCTCTCATCGTGACCAAATCCACTTTGAGGCTGCTCTTACTCTCTCATGCCCCAAATAGTTATTGGGATCCGGCACTCATGGCATTTTTGACAATTCATCAAATAAGATGTTAATATTATATTATTATTATGTTATGTGAATTGCATTGTTGTCCGTTATAACTTTATTCTTGTCTTCACTCGTTAGTGGATTTGCCGAGTACTTTTATATTTTAAGTTGTCTGTATTTTCTAATTGTATGTTTGTACTGTATTTTTGATGTTCAGCACCCCAAGAAGATTAAAGGCACATACATGTGTTTTTAACGGGGATCTTTAAATAAACAATAATCAATATTTTTGCAGATTCATTTTATTTTTGGATCAACTAATTAATTCATTGAGCTCTACAACAACTTCCTGATGACTTACCAAGCGAGCTATGAGAAATATTAAATAATAATCTGGTGTTAGACGACTTATCAGCTGTGATTTGATGTGAATTGATATCGTTTCCTGGACTTGATTTGACTCTCATGGCTTTAATAAAGATTGTATCTCCAGCCACAACCTTAGATTAGACTGAACCCTACCTGCAAACACTGACAGGTAATACAAATAAAGAATATAACTCAACAGACATTTAACATCTTTATCCAACCTAATATACTGAGTTATCTAGGTGGGATACACAATGGTATTAAGAAGAAGAACACTGTGTTTAGAGTTGTTACTTGTATGAATGTACAAGAGAGCAACAAGTGTGACTGGACATAAGATCAATGTTATGTTCAGGCTGTTCAGTGCTTGTTACAGAGAAATCTTACTGCATTAAATCTATCCGGTTCACATGAGAACTAACAGAGCCTCATTGAGCTGGTTCACACCTAACTTACCCTTTGCCTGGTGTCGGTTTTCGATGCCAGACTTTCCCCTCTTCTTTGTTTCCAATGTCCGTCACCTCCATTTTAAAGACGTCGGTAGAAACTCGGAATGAACTGAGGAAACAGACGACTCTCCCCCTTACTTGAGGTAAAGTTACTGACCCAGCTTACAGTAACATGGATAGCTAACGGGCTACCCGGCTAATCTCTTCACAGGCGGAGCAAACAGCGCGAAATTTGAAAGAGCAGCATTGAGTATGTTTAGTTTGAAGTTACGAGCAGAGAGGCGGCACGGCTCAGCAGCATGTAGTGTTAGTCAGAGTTCAACAGGCACCTTGAACAGACACTACGATAACACTTTGCTTCAACTTGTCCCAGGAGTTTGTTTTGTTTGCTTGTTCGCAGGGGACGGTTATTTTGTCGCCCAAGGTTGACGTAAAAGGTAAATAGACGCGTGCATTATGGGAGTTGTAGTTCAAAACACGCGTAACGTTTCAGCGACGGAGCAAACCAAAGTCTGCCACTCGAGAAAATGTAGAATATGAAACAGTTTCATTTAGCTTTGTATATATTTGTGTGTGCACAGTAGGCTAAATTATTATTCCTCTGTTTTAAAGTGTTACTTTGCTGAATTAAGCTTCTTTTCCATACATTTTACTTCCCAGCATGAAAGCTTTAATGCTGTTATAAATCTTTATTTGCACTACTATGAATGCAGTTCTGGATATTTAATGAATCTTTCATTTACTTTTTATCCACAGGTTTCCCAATCATATATAGAAAATATGAGGTTGTGCCTATAAAATACCCAAGACATCTTGTAAAACCACCAAATTTCCAGAAGAAACCCTTTTGATAAAATGAATATATAAGATAGTAAATCTACTTTAACCTCGCCATGTACATTTTCTGACGTGTGTTTGTATTATATAAAGTGTCCTAATAAAAGGCCTAATTTTCAAGTTTATGAAACCCAGATTCCAGACCATAAAAAGCTATTTAACAGGCTTTCTGGCCATCAGTGATTATGGGGAGCAGTTAGGTCTGGAGGAAGCAGACAGTGGAGCCTCACAGACTCGACACAGCAATCATTTAAAGTGCTGTGAATGCTAGAAGTACACAGCTAGGTGAACCATTGGGGCCCCGGAAAGTAGGGTGCCTGCTAATGGGTGTAGACCATTGGTGGACAGTCACACGCTTCCTGGAACGTGCTGTGCAATACCAGTCAGAGTGCATTAGCCTAGTCCCTCTCTAGGTGACCAATCAAATGTGTAAAAAAATATGATTGTACTGCAGGCTTTTATACAATTGAGTACTATATAAAAGCCTGCAGTACAAGCATTTTTTTTTAGTGGACACAAATGGGGTGGGTGATAATACTCATATAGTGTTTGTCACTATGACTGACCCTTTTACACAGAGTAATAGTTGTAATATTGATATTTATTAGCAAAGCTTTAAATTATTGGCAAATGTCTGAAATGTTGTGACCCTCTTCCTGGCAATCACAACCTCAATGTTTCCACCAGCAATAGTCCTCAATGAAACAAAAATGGCTTTAATTTTTGTATTTTTAACTATATATTATTTACTCTGAACACAAATAACTACAAAAAAGTAAAAATGAACAGACAATAAGACAATGTGCAGTGGTGTAAATGTTTGTTGTGAACCAAAGTATTCTCCTTTTTTACCTAATCTACATCTGCCAGTTTTATAAAACAACATCTGAGATGAGTATCTTCATTTTAAATGAAAGTAAACCTTCGCCCAGACGCACTGTATATTGTATGGAAGCCTATTTCTGCCAATTTGACAAAATAAAAAGATTCATTATAATGACAAAACCTTCTTAATGTTTTGACTTAGTATCTCAAAATAATTTGAGATATTAAGTCATTTTTTTGAGATAGTAAGTCGAAATATTGAGATACAAATTCCAAATCTTTTCCATTTTGCATCATTACAATGGATCAAGATGTGTCTTGAATTAGTTTATATCAAATCTCTTCATTCAAAATGGGTCCTGAAACCTGAAACCTAAAACATTTGAGTTATGAAGTGATGTGAGAACATGAAATTTCATAAAAATGTATAATTTGTCAGAAATCTAGGAGAAGGATTTCTCCTTATATGAATTCCTTCCATCTATGCCATCAGACACTATTTCAGAGGCTTGACTCTCCACAGGTGGCTCCTGTAAGACAAGTCATCTCTGGCTGCCTCTGGATGTTCAAGACAGGAGCTTTTGCAAATTTCACAGGAAGTACAAAATTAATTCACAGCAAAACCAAGAGGTGTTTGTGCCATACTTCCGGTTCTAACGTTTTACTTCAAACTAAGAGCATGTTATAAAACGAAACAAAAAACACCTTCAAAATAAATAAATAAATAATGAGGTAAATAAATAAATAAACACAGCTAAGACGTAGATGGGCCTTCATTGGTATTGCCTGCAGCTATTGTCAAATTAGTGTCCATTGTCAAAATCCTTAGTATGAACAACACAATGATTATTAGGATGTGTGTAATAATGTCTGATAAGAATAAGGTAAAAAGCCCAAAGAGGGCACCAGAAAAGTTAAGCATACAAAATTTGACCAGAAATTTTTCTAAAAACAATCAACACTGGGTGCATCATAAAAGTATAAGCTTTCTAAGCAACAAACAATTTGAACTAATTTTAGAATTTGAGTGATGACACCACTTATTTTCCTTATAAATAGAATATCTTTCATTTCCTGACAACCATTGCTTCTTTCTCTAAAATATCCAATGTGTTAAGAAGCAATACTTTCCATTTTCATTCTTTGTTATCACACACCTTTTATTATTATTCTTATTATTTGTAGACTACCGATAGTAGCAGTAGTCCGTTGACCTTTACTTTGAAAAGCTGAACCGGATGTGTCAGTAACTATGCAAAGCTAGCTCCCTCTGATTAGCCACGTCATGTAAAGTTAGCAGCGGAGCAGCTCTGAAATAAAGACAGCGAGGGGGTCGCAGTTTTGGGGGGGACATCGGTTAATTTTTAAAGAGGAGTTGTTTTTTCAGGGTTGTAATTCGTCAGTAACTGTATGGAAACATGTCGGACATTGGAGACTGGTTCAGAAGCATCCCTTTTGTCACCCGGTACTGGTTTGCTGCCTCGGTCGCTGTTCCCCTTATTGGGAAACTAGGATTGATTAATTTCAGGAACCTCCTGCTGTTTCCGGAGCTGGTCTTTAGCAGATTTCATGTAAGTCTTCATTAACTCTGTTCTGCTGTGTGTGTTGGAGGAGCTGATAAACGCCGTCGTTGTTGTGTTTTCGGTGTAGTTTGTTGGTTAGCAGGTGGCTAACCAGGCTCAGTCAGGAGGCCTGAGCCGTGACAGCCAATGAGAGGCCGAGACGCAGCAGGGTACGACTTCCGGATGCTGTCAAAATGCTACTTCATTTAGCAACAGTGAAATAAGGTGTAATATGAGCACAACACATAGTATTTCATCTGCCAGCGTCACCTTGTAGCTATGAAATGGAAGTGCAGTCACTGTTGTGCGTCCCACAAGGTGGAGAAGGTATTTTGGACTAGTTGTAAAGGGGATTTCTTGCTCTGAGGAGCAGCTCAGGCAGCGTTTTTACTTTACACCCCTCCATCACTGTGAAGTCAGCAGGCAGGATGTGAATGTGGATCCTAAAAGACCGAGCTCAGGGCAAAATATCCCCTCAGCCTAGATACTTGCAGTGGACTCAAGTACTGCCAATAAGTACAGGTTTAAGATACTTACTTAAGGGGGAATATATAGATGTTTTACTAAATTTTAAATGGTTACTTGGTTATTACTGCTTGCGTTAAAGAATAAGAGTTTATTATTACCTAAAAATGTGTTGCAAGTTTATAAAATATGATGCATTGTGTTAGATTGAAATCCCTAACAATATATGAAGAAGAAGTTAAAATGAGCCCCACCTTCACCAGTCAAATGCTACTGCTTTTATTTTGATACCTTTAATTACATTTGTCTCCTAATACTTAGGTCGGCTACTTTTAACTAAGGTCATATTTTAAATGCAATACTTTTACATAAGTAAAGGCTTTGAATAATTCTTCCCCCACACTGGTTATTTGAGCAATCATTACACTTTTTGTAGTGTGATATTATATGACAGACTGCCTACTGTTCGACCTGCCAGAGAGCAAGCTGGTGTGACAGCTACAATAGGTCACTGATATCTTGGAGAAACACAGGCAGTGCTGCAGCTGAATAGATTATTATTGTATTACTCTATTCACTAGGAGATGTTTTGTTGCCCGGCAACTGTATAAGAAATTGAATCTCAACCTTGTGACATACTGTGGGCTATTCATCTTAATTGAAGATATAGATGAAAACCATGATTTATTTCATTATTACTAAATGGCTCTTCAGTCAGTACCGTATTATAAGCTCCTTGAAGATTCAGTATCTGGCTCGTGCTGCACAGTTAGAGGCATTTGAACTATTATGCTGTCTTATGGCTTCAGAGGGCAGCTGGTGGACACAGAAATCCATTATTTTTTTAGACTAAGTACAATCTCAATCAATGACAAGGGCCACACAGTTAGTAGATATTTCGATTAGGGCTGCAACTGATAATTATATTAATAATAGATGAATCTATAAATATTTTGTTGATTAATCGTTAAGTCTATGAAAACAGAGTGAAAATATCCATCACAAGGTGTAGGAGCCCGGTCAGATCAGAGAGGCTCGAGTCAGACATTTTGTATTGATTTAACAGATTAGTTGAATATCAAAATTATATATATTTATAATAAAAATGGTGCATCCTATCTTGTTATAATCTAGGCACAGCTACAATTTGTTCCCCTTAAGAATTGTAGGTTGCAATTGTATTCTATCATTTTCCCCTCGATTACAATTAAAATGCTCATCACCCTGCAAGTCACCTCATAGATGCTGTATTGATCTGATGTCTGTTGCCATCAAACAAAATCTTTGAAACTAATTGTGAGCGAACACACTCTGCAGAGGCTGTCTGTCTTTTAGAAGTTATCATTTACAATCAACACGAGACTTCACGTGTGTTCTAAGCACAGCCTTGAAAGTCTGGATCTGTGAACGAACGCAGCTATGTGGATTTGTTACTACATTTCTATAATGTCCCCTCTGTTTGTTTCAGCTCTGGAGACCAGTGACAGCCACCTTGTATTTCCCAGTAACCCCTTCTACTGGGTTTCTGTACCTGGTCAACCTCTATTTCCTCTACCAGTACTCTTCTCGGCTAGAGACAGGTGAGGCTGCTGGTCTCAGTGGCTTAGTCTCACACACACACACACACACACACACACACACACTCACCTCACACACACGGCAGTCCACCACACACACACACACACGCGCTGAGTGCTGTTTATTGTCATGCTAATCTTTTTCTTGGTATTTTTTCCAGGGGTGTTTGATGGCAGACCTGCAGACTATATCTTCATGCTCTTGTTCAACTGGATCTGTATTGTTGTATCCTTTGACTGACATCACAAACCCTTTAAAACCTTCTGATTTAAATGATAAATTACTGTCTACCTAAAGCATCTGAGAGTCCTCTCCACCATTGATTCTAGCTCTCTGCTGCTTTCTTTGCCCCTCTGCATCACTCTTTCATCTGTCTTCTCTCTCTCATGATCTCTCTGTCGTCTGCTCTCTCTCTCTCTCTCTCTCCTCTCTCTCTCTCTATACTCTGTCTCTCTGATCTCTCTGTTCAATCTCTCTCTCTCTCTCTCTCTGCAGCACTGTGCCATGTCAGGGTGGCTCTGTGCCAGTGGCCCAGTGTCAGTCTACCCCTGCAGAGCAGAGAAACCTAATCTAGGTCACATGCAGCACCAGCAGTACAGCCCGGCCCACATCTCAACACTGTGTCGTTTTGTCAGCTCGTCTGACTGTTCAGACACTTCCTGTTTATAAGACAAATTTGGGCAAAATCATGTTCTCTTTAAACCTGATCTAAACCAAGTGTTCAGTTTGTGTTACCACAACCAAATGTGAGACTGGGTGGGGGAAAAAGTGAGTTGTGGGAGGATGTCCGATGCCTTGCTTTAGGGGAAGAGGTAGAAATGGCTGCTCTAATCTTAAGGCTCCAGCTGTGATTGTATTGAGCCCCGAGGTGGTTGTCCTTGACTTGAGCTGTAGATAACTGGGTTGCTGATGAACATGCAGGTAAGAATGCTCCTCTCTCTCTGTATTTATAACACAACATGAAATTATGACCAGTGTATACTGTATATAAAGCATCTGAGCGGGTTATGTACCAGACTGTTTCTTGGTTGGGACCAGTAACTACTGGAGTCTCCAACTGTTACCGGAAATGGTCCAGTGTTTGTACGGATTAAACAAATAAGATACAACATGTTAAGGTGCTAGAAAGTGTATTTTACTTTTTCCAGTCTTTACGCTAAGCTAATTTAACTTAGCTAGCACACATTAGTGCGGTAGTGGTATCAATCTTCTCATTTGGTGTTAGCGTGTACGTTCACTTTCAGAGCTTACAATAAAAAGCTGTTCATATTACTCTACATATTACACAAACACAAGCAGTTCTTAAAGCCAGCTAAGCTCTGAGTTGGTTTTATGAAACCACTTAATCTTGATTCAGTTTATGAGGCTCATTGAAGAGGCTTTGCACAATAAACCCTCCTTTGCAGAGTCCCCTGTATAAAACACTTGCAATATTGCACTTGCTTAAATTCAAGACTGATGTGACCAAAACCTAAAGCTTTTTTACACAGCTGTCTTGTTGATGCAGTTTCATTGGACTTATATATTGTTGTTTATGTTGTTGTTTTCAGCTGCTGATGATCCCACTGATCATGTCAGTGCTCTACGTCTGGGCTCAGTTTAACAAAGACACGATTGTGTCCTTCTGGTTCGGAACACGATTCAAGGTACCTCATGTTTTATCACCAGCTTATTACATCACAAATACAATTGTATGGAGGAAACGGCCTTAATAAAAGTATCTCACATTTTACAGTAATGTCAGAACACATAAAACATTTATTACCTGAATATGAAGCCCTCTTATTATTATATTAATGATATGACTATTGATTATGATATTTTTTTGTTCTGTCCCAGGCACATTATCTACCTTGGGTCATCCTGGGCTTCAACTTCATCATTGGAGGCTCGTAAGTAACTATTTTTAATGAATTGAATCCGAGACAACAGAGAGTTTAATAGTCTAATATTTTAAACACATTGCACCATAAAGGTACATTCAGTGTCTTTAGAGTAACAAGGAATGGTCTCTGTTTCTGATACGCCTACAGTATGTTTAAGTGTTTAAACTTAATGTTTCTGTTATTTCACTCTGCTGTTATTGTGCAGGTTTGTGGACGAACTGACAGGGAACCTGGTGGGTCACCTCTACTTCTTCCTCATGTTCAAATACCCTGTGGACCTGGGAGGACGCTCCTTCCTCTCTACACCAGAGTTCTTGTAAGTTTCTTTTCCAGTCTGGGTTGGATTTTGGAGTTATGGTCTCAATTCATTTTAGTTACAACAATTTCCTTACTTACTGAGGATGTGCTGTACAGCTTTAAAGCAAAACTATCAAACCTTTGTAACAAAGTTTTTCTCTTACATTAGGAATAAAATGCACACTTTTGGCTTTTTGCTGCTACAGCTTCACTTGGACTGTTAGACCAGGAACTTATTGTAGCTGAAAATAAACAAATGTTTGCAAATGTAAGATAGATTTAGAAATGCAGTGCATGAGGCAACCAGACAAGTTATTGGATAGGGTTTAAACACGTCCAGAGCTAGTCTGTAGTACCTAAACCACTTGTTTGTATAAGAAAAACTAAAATCAAATTTAAGATTTTTACTCAAACACGCTGTTGTAAATGTTTATCTCGAGTTCAGCTCAAAGCAAATGTACTTAGTGCAGTGGTTCCTGCAGTCACCTTCACAAAGAAACGAATAATGATTTGCATTCACTTTTGGTTTCACTTCCAAACAAGTATTTTAGATATTTGAGTGAACTTTATTAATCCCAAGAGAGAGCAGAGAATATGTGAATAACATCCTGCCCCAACTGACTAACAGCTATACCAAGAGGACATTGCTCACATGACTGTTTGTGTTATTTAAGACTTATTTGTTACTTGGCTGTGGGTACCTGCTTTGCTATTTCACCAGATTACAGGATGAAACTACAATTTTCCTTGATTTAAAAAAACAAACACGACTACTACTTTTCTTTCTCATAGAACAGGATTTGTTGTTTGATCACCTGCTTGCAAAGTACATTTAAATAGGTTCTAATGTCGTCTGTTTTACAGATCATATTTTAACACCTCTCATCCCTTTGCACATCTCTCTCCAGGTATCGGTTCTTCCCTAACAGGAGGGGAGGGGTGTCAGGCTTTGGAGTCCCTCCCACCAGGAGACCAGCTGCCCAGGAGCATGCGGGAGGAGGCGGGGGAGGAGGACGTCACAACTGGGGCCAAGGCTTCCGTCTGGGGGATGATTGAGAGGAGAGGAGAGGAGAGAGCGCCAACCCCCTCCCCCCCTCCCCCCCTACCAAAGACCAATCCCACCCCCCTAACCCCTCGCTCCAAATAACCAAACGGACTGTGCAGTGATGTATCGGTTAAAATTTTTTCGAATTTTTCATGAAAAACAAAACAAAACACATCTTAATTATATCAGTTTAAATTATTAAAGAATACACCAGAAATTAAATTTATAAGAAGCACACATTTAGGCAAGACAGCGGCGCACAGCAGACTCAGACCCTGAAAGCTATAGGCCAAAGTATTAAATATTATTATTATTATATATAGTATTTTTTTTTTATTTATATTTCTGATTTATCAATAACACCTATGAAAATATCCCTGATCTCTATCCTACCTCTCTTTTCCTAATTAACCTCTTTCCGTATCCTCATTGCCTTATTCACCAACCCCTCCCTCTGCCAGCTTATACCTTCGCCACCACCTTGACATCCTTGACTGTACAGAACCCAACGATATTTGCCAGCTGCGACCATCTACAGCATGGCTGGTTGATTATTCCATTTTGATTCTTGTCGTTCCCGTCTCTTTCTCTCTCTCGGTGATGCCATATCGGATATACTATATGTAAACATAAACTTCTGCCTAATCAACCTAACCAATCGCGAGGGTTCAGCCGAGTGTCTCAACAGATCTCCTACCCTTTCCGCAGGAACATGGCACCAAGGGTTATTAGAGCACTGTTTCCAGGTTGAATTTACATTGGTAGGTAAAATGTTTTTATATAAGCTTGGATATATAACAGATATTGACTCCTAATCTCTCT